TCAGGGGTCACTCCAGTTAAACTGGGCTGACTGGGCTGCGTAAAATAACCACACAAGAGACACAAATACCTTTTTCTTTGGGGTTGCTGTGATGGCTCCTCTGACCTTAAGGGTTCGCAGGAAGAAAGAGAGAGAGAGAGAGCACGTGCTGACCCCTTTTATTGAGGAGAAGCTATTCAAATGAGGCAAGGGGTCAGGTTTCAGGGGACTGAGTCTATCTTCATGATGTCCACTGTCAGCAGGTTGACTGACACCTGGGTAGGCCACACCCAAGGGCACAGTAAGAGAAGGGGACACACACAAGGCACTTCCATGGAAGATTCTATCCTAAACAGGGCAAGGGGTTATATTACAAAGGAACAGGTGAGCGTAGCTCCACTCATGGCTGTAGCAAGACACACCCATGCACGAGACACCGACCCTCAAACCCAAGAAGGGTGGGGAAAGCTCTGCCACATTTCTGTGACTGAGCGCCTCAGCACCCAGCCGGGTGCAAGGTTGGTCTCCCACAAGGTAATGCAAATTAATAGGAGAAAAGCTAATAATAGGAGCTATGGCTTCATTTGCGTCAACTGCAGGATGAGGGAGAAAAGCATACAAACTTATTTAATAAGGAATGAAGACCCAAAAGAAGTAGCAAACCCTTTAAAATGCTTTTATACTAGGCTGAACAAAGAAAGGCAATTGTGGAAAAGTAACCAAATTACATGGGGTGGGGGAGGTAACAGAAGATAAGAACTATTTTTACAAGATTTGTATGTACAGAATTCTCTTGGTCTCAATTGCTCATCCTAGGTGACCATAACGTTACCTTCCTTCTGGCATAGAGAGGACATCTTTCATGTGGGGTTTTATCTTCAGCTTTCAGGAAAAAAAAGGGGGGGAAGGGCATCCAGAATTATTTCAGTGACTTTAGCTCAAAATAATCCTCACGCCAGAATGGCATAGTTTGTATTCTGCCACCCAGCAGAGGGAAAGGTGGAGTGGCAGGTGGCTCCCCTGGGAGGTGCTCAGTGTCTCTGTGTCACTGAGCACCTGGATTACACATGCGCCCAGGTGGCACCATCTGTCCCAAGTTTGCAGTTCAATGAGGGTTTTCCAGGATGTCAATCACTTTTTCATCTTGGCAACAAGCTGCAAAGTCAGAAATAGAGAATGGGATTCACTGACCTCTTGATTTGCTATTGTTTAGCAGCAAGAAATTTCTTGACTCTACTCTAAATTGAGATTTAAGACAGAGGTCGCTAGTGAGATTCTCACTTTAATGGGCTGTGCTGTGTCATCCGTGACCAATAGGGCCTGCTTTATAATTTTCAGGGGCCAGTGCAAAATGAAAATTGGGAACACCTCATTTGAACAAGCGGGGGATAGGGGAAGCATTGTTTAAGCTTCTAAAATATAAAACTTTTTTCTTTTGACCTGTCATAGTACTTTTTATTTGCTATTTAATGTCCTTTTAAGTAGAGGAAAATCAAGCATTTAATTTTCACATAGATTTTCGTACTCATCTTAATATTGGGTAAGTTTTCTGTTTGCTTTTTGTGATGCTGGAAATCAAACCCAGGACCCAGGCATGCTCAGCAAGCATTCTACCACTGAGCTACGTCCCCTGTCCTTACATGCTAGTTTTAAGTGCAACTATAAGAGCATTTAACCCATATGTGGAGTCATCAAAATGACACAATTTGTGTTTCGTAGCATGACCTAACGTGCATTTCTGTTTTCACCAGAACAGTGGACACACCACACAAAATTAACTTTAACTGTGGACATTTCACTTTTTGATATGCACATATTCTGCTGACACTCCACCTTTGGCTTACTGAGGGAAGACCTCCCAAAGGGGAAGGAGCTATGGCTTCATTTGCGTCATCTGCAGGATGAGGGGCTGGTGGGTATGGGGAGACGCATTGTTCAGCAAGAAGACAAGGGTTCTTGATGGCTCATGTTTCTTGAAACCTCCTTGCCTGGTCTGCATTTGAATCAGTTCTGCTTCAAATGGGATGTGGCTTCTCAGGGTTGCCAGGCCTCTCCTTACTAGTCACAATCCACTTACCTTGAATTCATTCTGAGACTTGCTGAACCCCCACATATCGTGGGTGCACCAGAATTCAAGAGCTATATATATATATATATATATATATATATATATATATGAAGGCAGCGGCAAAGGGATGGCAGACAAGAATATTGCTTATAATCTGCTCACATGCTTCACTGTCCCATCAGTCATCACTTAGAAAACACAAGTTCAAAGATAAAGTCATTTGGAATTCCAAGATGGCGACAAATGCTAGGTTTTCCTGAGCACACGGCCTGTGGGACTGTACAGATGGTCAGTATTAAAGCTAATTCAGAGAAAGATGGTTTGAGGGGAGCAGTGGGATGGAGGCAGAGCATGCTGCAAGCCTGCTCTCCTCTACATTTCCTGGAGGTGAAGGTCAAGATTGGCATGGAGGGAGACTTCAGGGGGCAGCCCCTGTCCTGTCCCTTCTGCTCTGGATGACTGAGTAGTCAGGACTCGTGTCATTTGGGGGACGTGTGAGGTGTAGCTTTGGATCTCAGAGATGACTGAAATCAGCAAATAAATCTGAGATCTTTCATAATTCAAATCCGAATGGACCTTATAAAGTTAAACCAATTGCAGCCAGTTCAGTGTCACTAAAACCCAACTCAGACTGGCTTAACTAATAAAGGGGCTTATTGGTTCATGTGAATGGAAATCCTAGAAGTAGTTTAGTGTCACTCACTGTGTGACAAATGTCATCAAGGACCCAGTTTCCTTTTGCTTCTCTTCTTGCCTCCTGTGATGTCAGCTTCATTCTTAGGCTGGTTGTCCCTCGGGGTGGCAAAATGGGTACCAACAATCCCTAGAGCAACTGGGAGAAATTTTCTATCAGAAGAGTGAGAAAGCTTTGTCCTTGTTCTCAGTAAAAGCTCCCCCAAAGAGTCATGAGCCCACCCATCAAATGATACCCTATCCAGTGAGTGGGACTGTGCTGGTCCACTCAGAGTTAAACTGTCATGTCCCTTTCCACACCCAGGATGGAGTGAGCTTCTGTCACACACAGCACAGGAGAATGGGGAGGAGGAAACCAGAGCAAAAAATTGGGGTGATGACCTTGAGGGGAAGAAATAGACACTGCAGAGACCACCTACCACCTTAGCAATCCTACCTCAGTTCTCAGGGCCGGCAAGAGGACACAGTAAAAATGTAAGTGTGTGATGCTGTCCAGACTTTGGAAGTGGGAACTGGGTGCATTTCTACCCAAAAGACGTTCAGATTCATAATTTAAAATAATGCTGGCCCAGCAAAACCTGTATCTGCCGGCCACTTCACAGGTCAGGAACCAAAGAGGAATAGTAAAGGCCTTATTGTAATGGTTGCCACTACTGAACTCCGTGTGTGCCTCTGCTAACACATTGGACAAGAAAGGGAGACGAGGCTTCAGGAGGTCAACAAATCTGCCCAGAGCCACATTGGTAATGAGTGACAGGGCCAGGATTTGGACTCAGGCCTATTCAGTCCCCATGCCTCTGCTCTTTCCCAGTGTCTAAAGGATGAATTGGTGTCATGAACAGGAGAAAAAGCTCCAAGTCAGTTCAGAGCTCTGTCACACTGTGTCACGAAGAGGTTTTAGGAGACTGTGGGGAGCCACATTGAGTTACCATGACTTCCAGTCCTGATGCACCACAGGGACCTGAAAGATCACTGTATTCTGGGCAGTAGTGCCATGACTCGTGACTCAGTCTTTTCCCCTGCCCGGATAGCAAGGCCAGTCTTCTGATTAGGCATACCCTGGGGTTGAGCTAACTCACCTATTCTTTTGTAATCCTACCCCGTTGCCCTGTTTGGGATAGAAATTCCATGGAAACTCCCTTTGAGTGTCCCCATCTCTTGTTCTGCCTTTGGGAGTGGCCTTCCTCGATGTCAATCAATCTCCTGATAGTAGACATCATGAAGCTAGACTCAACCCCACCCCTCCCAAAACCTGACCCCTTACCTCATTTGAATGGCTTCTACCCAATAAAAGGGTTCAGCACATGCTCTCTCTCTCTCTCTCTTTCTTTCCATGGACCCCTAAGGTCAGAGGAGCCATCACAGGACGCAAAGAAAAAGGTATTTCTCTATCTCTGGTTATTTCACACAGCCCTGTTCACCTGGAGTGACCCTGTGTGTTTAGTCGTGAGATGCGACAGGAGACTACTTGTATTAGTCCATTTTCTGTTGTTATGACAAAGTATCTGAGACTGGGTACTTTATAAAGGAAAAAGGTTTATTTAGCTTACAGCATTGGAGTCTGAAAGTCCAAGATTGAGTGGCCACATCTGTTCAGCCTCCTGTGATGCTCCTTTGACTACGTCACAACATGACAAAGGAGAGGAAAAGGAAACAGTCTTTTCCAATGGCCGTTCCCCCAGTGACCTAGTTTCCTACCCCTAGGCCCCACCTCCTGAAGGTCTCACCCCCTCTCGGTACCACCTCTTAACATCACCACACTGAAAACCGACCTTTCAGCACATGAACCTTTTGGGACATGTTCAAACCATCTTCAAGCCATATATATCACTAAATGGAGAGGGAAGATCTCATGAAGCAAATTCTCTAAGTGATAAAGTGAATTTTACTCAGGAAAGAGAAGAACCATCTTCCCTGGGTACAGGAAGCACAGCGTCACTCCTGCCTGGCTCAGGGAAGCCCACTGGCTTCTGGCCTCCTGTGTGAGCAGAGCAGCGGTTGACAAATCCCTTTTCTGTAAGCTGTCAGACTTGGAGAGGTCACAGAGGAAGCCTGGGCCTTCGAGTTGGCAGCCTGACCGCAGAGGTGTTAGGCCCTCTCAGAAAGGCACCCACCTGGGCAAGTCCCAGGCCAACTCTGACCTTCTCCTATCTGCCGACTGAAGACTTGAGAGAGGCCTGGGTTTCCCAGGATGCAAAGTAAACCCCAGTGAAAAGGAAATGAAAAGGCATGTTCCTAACCCAGCTCCTTCTCCTTGCAGCCTGCTTCATTCTCGCGCTCATGGCTCTCCTGGTCCTGCCGCTGTCCATGGCCTTCACAGGTGAGCTGGCTGCTGAGCTGCGGGAAGCTGCAGGTCAGCGGGGGTGGAGCGGGGTGACAGCACTTAATGTTTAAGCATCAACTGTGCTTAGGCAGGGCTGGCAAGATCAGTCGTCCCCAATTATCTGCTTGCTGTCACAGAGTGACTTGGTGAACATTCCTGGTGTCCCCGCCCTGGAAGATATTGATGAAGTATGTCTGGGGTGGGGACAGGCACCTGCTTTTAAAACTGTCAGAAGAAGATTCTGATCTTCCTAGCCCAGGTTTAGGAGTCACGAGGCTCAATTTGCCCGAGGCCCCTTCCCGGTTCCTATGTTCCCGTGAGGAAGCCCATTGTGAACAATAAGAAAAATGCATCCGAGGCTCAAGGAAAGTATGGGCTCACTGAATATGTTTTTTGCGGAGTGAGTGAATAATAAATGCTCCCCTAATTGCACGGATTAAACAACTTTATAATCTGCAAGTGTGAAGTACAGGGAGGTGGCAGGGGAGTAGGAGTGGACTCCTTGAGAAGCCAAAAGTCACTGGCACATGTCTGTGGAACTAATCTCATGCTCTTGAAATTGCTAATAGGAGCCCCTGAGATCTGCATGCAGAAGGTCGATGCCCTATTTACCCTGAGGCCTAGCAAGCCAGTGTTCTAGGTTCCAAGCTCAAAGGATATGGGGCAGAAATTTTAAAAGGGTGCAGGAGTTATTGAAAACAACAACAACAAACCCAGTACCCTATCTGCTTAATGGGTACAAGGTTTCATTCTAGGGTGATGAAGCTATTTGGGACTAGATAAAGGGGATGTTTGTACAACATTGAGAATATGTTAAATGCCACTGGATGGTTCCCTTTAAAATAGTTGATTTTATGTCCCGTAAATTTTATACTGAAAAAATACAACTCTGAAAATAGAAATAAACAAAAACAGTACCCTGGTTGTTGTTGTTGTTTTTTTTTTTTTTTGAAAGAGAGAGAGAGAGAAAGAGAAATAAAAAGATAAATAGCCTGAGCTGGGCTCAGCGGTACACACCTGTAATACCAGAGGCTGGGGAGGCTGAGGCAGGAGGATTGCAAGTTCAAAGCCAGCCTCAGAAACTTAGAAAGGCCCTAAGCAACTCAGTGAGACCCTGTCTCTAAATAAACTATAAAAAAGGCTGGGGATGTGTCTCAATGATTAAATGCCCTGAGTTCAATCCCCGGTACCAAAAAAATACAAACAGCTTAAACAACAACAGAGAGAGAAAATAAAATAAAATATCAAAGTTGCCCAGAACTAAAAGAGCAAAACATTCTGGGGCCATTTAATATAAGAGGAAAACAATTCAACCACTTGCCCAAATCTGGAAGCTACCATTATTAGAGTTAGTTTGGAAATTAACTTCCATTTATGGTTCTGCTCTTTCAAGAAGAGTTTATAAGAAGTTAGTCACACCCAGCTTGGGAGATCAGAAATGCCCTTTAGACAGTGTTCTATGCAAAATCGGTAGTGTAAGAGAGACTGTGGAGCTGTGGCTAGTTGTTCACCAACTCATTCGCCAGCTAACAACTCACTCACCAAGCTGCACGATGAGACAAGCTTCCAAGAGTTCATTGACATGGTCACTATGTTAAAACGACTACATCCGTTGCAGAAAGTAGGTCTCGGGGAGTTGCTTCGTAGCAGTTATAGAGCTTGCGTTGGAGTGATGAAAAGTTCTTGAAAATGGATGATGGTCATGGTCACACAAGATGCTGATTGAAATCAATGCCATTGAATTGTACGCTTAAGTGGTTAAAATTTTTTGTTTGGCTATTATGTCACAATAAGAATTGTCAACACTCATACACACACACACACACACACACACACACCATAATATTGTTGTGTGGGTAGGGAATCGCTATCTCTAGCAATAGTATGAACTGCTTTGGGGAGAGTTCGAAAAAGCCAAAGGGTGTCATTGTGATACTGCAGATCAGACAGAAAGAAAATCTAGGGTTCAGGTAGGACCTAAGCAACACGTGAAGAACACAGAGGAAAACTGTGTTGATTGACTTGATTGGGATCTTTTCAAGCCATCTGTGCACGGATCGACTCTCCTGTGAGCAGCAGCTGTTCTTATTCATTAGGAATGAGCAGATATACAAGTCATTACTCAATGTTCATTACACAGCTGGCTTCTGAATGGTAAAGGCAGTTCATACCCAACAAATTTGGCATCCGATACTTGAATGTCTTTGTGTGGAAAGGTTGTGTTGAGACTTGGAGAGCATTTCCATCTGATAATGGATTCAGACAAACATCAGAGAAACTGGAAAGGCACGTCATATAGGTTGATGATCCAACCAATGTGTGTGGAGGATTTTACTCTGTTTGGGGCCCTGAATTTATATTTATATCTGTACGTTTAGAAATTTTCAATAATGTCAATGAAACATGATGTAGTCATAGAAAAAATTTCTTCTGCTTAAGTTCCCATATCCAGGCATTTGTGAGAAATAAAATGTCAAATCAAATGTGTTTTAAACAGGAGACCGGTTCAACATGAGAATTCCCTTCTTCGAACTCTGTTGACAAATTAATCAAGTAATTTAATTATGCTGTGGTAACAAATTAACCCTGAATCTCAGTGGCTTAACACTGTAAATGTCTATTTCTTGGGTTTTTTTTTTTGGAGGGGGAAGGTGTGGATACCAGGGATTGAACTCAAGGGCACTCCACCACTGAGCCACATCCGCAGCCCTATTTTGTATTTTATTTAGAGACAGGGTCTTACTGAGTTGCTTAGTGCCCAGCTTTTGCTGAGGCTGGCTTTGAACTCACGGTCCTCCTGCCTCAGCCTCCCGAGCTCCTGAGATTAGAGGCATGTGCCACTGTGCCCAGCTGTAAAGGTTTATATCTTGCTGTGAAAATTCCATTGTGGATTAGGGGTCATCCCAGAGCCTCAGGAGACTCCCCAAGGCAATAAACATGACCCCTAGCTTTACAAACTGCCTCAGTCCTGAGAGAGAGGCCCTCTCAGCTCATTGTTTTCCAGGTGGTTAAAGCAGGAGGCGAAAGAAGGATCGTGTATCAGTTTTAAAATGGTTGATGCCAATGTCCCACAACCATTTGGTCAGAATTAGTCACACAGCCCTGTGTGCCCACAGTGGCCTTGGCAATATGAAGGCACATATCCATCCATGCCTCTACACAGAAGAGTTTTGTGCTTGAACCCCTCTGCAGCCTGGTCATTGGAACTAGTTTTGTTAATGAGGGAAATAAGACATTTCCTTCTTGTATTTAAAAAAGATGCATCATATTATTGCTTAATAATAGGCTTAGAAGATAAAGACCTAAGAAAAGTAGAGAAAGCATTGTTTTGGGAAGAAATATGATCCTGAAGGAAGAGTGTGGAGGTCTGAGCTGTGGGGGTCAGCAGTATTCCATACCCAGTTGCTAAAGATGCCTCAGGAAACACATGTCTCCCAGCTTGGGGGTCCAGTGAGCAAAATGGTCAGTGGTAACGACAAAATGACCATGACAACAGCCTTGCACAGGTGGAAGGGCTTCCTGCTGGCTCCTCTGCCCCCTGGAAGCAGTGGAAGAATAAAGGCCTCATTTTACTCGGTGGATGCATTTTGGGAATGTGACCCATAAATTGAATCTTATTTTAAGCATATCAAGGGAACTGAGTGTTTAAAGGGATTCTTTAAGTCCTTTTGTGAAAAGAATCCTTGAAAGCATGAACTGTCATACATACACCAGCTTTTCATAAAAGCACGGTACACTCATGACCACTTAGTACCCAGATAAAAGGTGCAGTGACGTCTGTCCCTGCTTTGTCTGATGATTCATTTGTTCCTGGAATTGTAGGCCAGAGGCCTGACGCCAGGGATCCCAACAAACCTGATCCACCTCCTTGCCCCAAACACCAAACAAAAAAAGGTGATGGTGAAGAACAGGAAAAGAACTACCAACAATAGGGCCACACTGGGAAGGCAAAGTGACACGCAGCCGCTCAGCCCTGCCTTCTGGGTGCTGGCAGGAGCTTTAGCTTTAAATAGGGGAAGAACTGGGGCAGGGGCAAGAGGTGTGTGTAATTCAGTAGTCTGATTGATCATTCTCTCAGTTCTTGTTCTGCAAGGGGGCTCTGGAGAAGTCCTTGTCTCTCGAGAGGACCTGGGATCCTGGAAGGAGGCAATTCAGTTTCCATGAGATGATGGCTCCTGCTTAGGGGTCTCATCATGGGTTGATGTCCTGCTCCAGTTGTTCCTGGAAGGTAGTCCTTGTAGGCATCACCCCATGGATCTGAAACAGGGTGCTGCAAATCCTGCCTCAGTCTCAGAGGGAAATGAGATTAGTTAGGTAAATTTGGGGCTAACAAACCTTGTATTACTAGTTATGAGATGAACACTCCTTAAGGGATTAATATGGCTTACATGCCAAGCTGAGCAGACCCCTGACCCAAAGTTGAAGATAATAAAGGAGACAGACACAGAATGAAGGCTGAGATGCCAATCTTCGTCCTGCTTTTAGATACCCATTGGGCATCTGCAGGCCCGAGTGAAGCGTCACTGCTTTTAAAAGAGCAACTTCTCTGCTTCCTGATATACATTCTGCCAGGAGAGTGGGATCTACAGAGTCAACCCACCGAGCATCCTGAAGATGGGGTGGCCCATGAGGCCAAGAGGATCCCACCAGCAGGGCAGGGAATGGAGTTATGCTTTGTGGAACTAACATTTTGGCCTTTGTAGGTGTTAAGCTCAGCTTCATAACCAGGATTGGTGCTCTTGAATGCATCTCTCAATCCCTTTCTGTTTTCCCTGGTAGGAATGAAGTTTTTGGAGGACTGCCCCATACAGCCTCTCATTCCCTTATATTTGCTAGTGGGTGGGATCATCGGTGCCTTAAAGGTAAGGTTGTTTGTTCTTTTTAGTTATATATGACATATTATACATATATAGAGTATTACTTCTCATTCTTGTGATTGTACATGATGTGGGAGGTACATTCGTCATGTATTCATATATGAACATAGGAAAATTATGTCTGATTCATTCTACTGTCTTTCCTATTTCCATCCCCCTTCCTCCCCTTCATCCCCCTTTGTCCAATCCAATGAACTTCTATTCTTCCCTAACCCTGCCTCTTATTGTGTGTTATCATCTGCATATCAGAGGAAACATTTGGCCTTCGGTTTCTTGGGATTGGCTTATTTCACTTAGCATGAGAGTCTCCAGTTCCATCCATTTACTAGCAAATTCCATAATTTCATTTCTCTTATTTGGATGAGTAATATTCCATTGTGTATACATACCACGTTTTATTTATCCATTCATCTATTGAAGGACACCTAGGTTGGTTCCATAGTTTAGCTATTGTGAATTGAGCTGCTATAAACATCCATGTGGCTGTGTCACTGTAGTATGCTGATTTTAAGTCCTTTGGGTATAGACTGAGGAGTGGGATAGCTGGGTCAAATGGTGGTTCCATTCCAAGTTTTCTGAAGAATCTCCATACTGCTTTTCATAGTGGTTGCACCAATTTGCAGTCCCACCAGCTATGTATCAGTGTGCCTTTCCCCCCCCCATATCCTCGACAATATTTATTGTTACTTGCATTCTTGAAAATTCCATTCTGACTGGAGATGAAATCTCAGTATTTAAACTATGGTTTGTCCTTCTTGCTCAAGTTTTACTTACTGTCAGGGTGGAACATACCTGTTAATATTCAGCTACTCACAGGGTGCCAGGACAATATCCCCCTAAGTGAGCATTGAAGTGACAGGGTTGGCGTCAGAATCACAGATTTTTCCAGATGAGGGGCCTTCACCAAGGGTTGGATATCTTTGCAATAGCTTTCTTCCTGCTATTGAGTTCAATGTGCTAAGTTTTAGTTTGGATCTAACAAGAGAGTGACCAACAGAGGAGTGACCAACTGACTAGCCAGTTTGGCCATTGAATTCATCACGACCTTTTTTTGTGCTTCTTTTTTAAAAAGTATGCTGTTTAGGGCAGAAGAGTTTGCATTTGGTGAAAAGGTGGGTTGTATGTGTGTGTGTGTGTGTGTGTGCGTGTGTGTGTGAAAGAGAGAGAGAGAGAGAGCGTGGTGCTGAGGATTGAACCCAGGGGCACTCTGCCATTGAACTACACCCCCAGCCCTTTTTATTTGGAGATAAGATCTTACTAAGTTGCTGAGGCTGCCCTCGAATTTGCAATCCCCTTGCCTCAGCTTCCTGAGTAGCTGGGATTGTAGGCATGCACCGCAACACTCAGCTGAAATGTATGTTGTTTAGGGGTTTGTATTTCTGTTTTTGCTATGTGTCAGTTGACCACGTGGAATTAAACTGGCTTCAGTCGTCAACCAACCATTAAACTCTGGTGTCTGGTACTAAGAGAACTTCTCTCTGACTCTCAAGCCCATGTAGAGACCTGATTAGCTCATGGGTTGTATTGGCATCTGTTAAAGTGACTAAAGAAGAAATATCAAGTGGCATGCAGACCTGAAACTTAGGTTTCCAAAATCCCTGGTCACAGAAATGTTACACATGCCAAAAGTATCTCAGGTCAACCTGTGCTTATCAGTGACTCTTCCTAACCTCCAAGCCCACCTCACAGCTTCCTATCAAAACTAGAAAACATAGTATCTATTTTTTCCAAAGAGGACTCATAAAAATGAAGCAACAACACAATAGAGAAAACAGAATCAAGAGTGCCATATATAAAATTTCATTCAGAGTCACTGTCTGGTTTCTTTGCCAACTTCCTCCTGGTGCTGGGATCCTTCAAAAGATCTTGGCCAGAGGCACTGGTCATGCTATTGATTTAAGACATCAAAGAATGTCTTTAAAAATATGTGTTCTCGTATGTAATGGATATCTATAAGCTCTATGACATCTTGGGAAATGTCTGATTTTGAACAAACCATTGGAGCTTCATTTCCCAACAGCAATGTTCTGGTGGGCAATGTTCTGGAATGTACAGATACAGGTTATCATCCCTATAACAACATTCCCCAGGAATTCTCCTGAGGCTCTGTCTGGCTCCAAAGAAACCCAGAGGCTGTCAGCTCAGTGAGGCTGCATATCCCCTGTGGACCCCAGGTGTTAGGCAATGCCTTGGGCACTAAGGAGATGCTCAAAACAAGAGCAAAGTTTTCAGCAGTAATTACCTGTGTCATCCATCCCCAGCTGACTGCCTCATCACCAGGTTGCTACCTGGAACTTTCCTGTAGAGCTGCTACTGTCCACAGAGTCAGCCTCCTAATAACAGCCAGCTTTTCCTTTACAAAAGCCAGCTCAGAACCCAAAGGTAATTTATTTTAATGAACATACCAGGGCTCTAATAAACAGCATCGATTTTTTTTTCCTGGCAATCTAAAACTGCTTGAAGCCAAATTAAATTTTGGTGCTCAACATGGTGAGGTAATATACAGTGAGTCCATAACAATAGAGCAGCAGCAAACATGTTTATGGTGCCCCCAGAGGCCCAAGTTTACTTGTGATGATAATGCTTTGTATTTAACACCCGCCCCCCAACACAGTTTGCCCAGCCCAGCGTCTTTAGTGAAATGCACCACATAGCATCAAGGTATCGCATTCAAAGAGAAATCTGAGAAATGAGGTGGCATTTCCCGGAGTTACCAAAAAGAGCTGACGGTCATGACCTACTAGGTCACAAAATGCATTTAGCAGGTTGTGATCTGATTTAAAAATAAAATAAAACAGAAAATATGAGAGTGCCTAATAAGTATTGTGTGATACTATATATGGACACCTGCCTGTTTGGGTGAATTGACCATATCATTTGTCATCCAAACGGAAATAATTTTGAGAGGACAAGGGGACTCTAATAATCATCATGCCAGGACAACAGCACAGACTAGGACTTCTCTGAGTTCCCAAGGACTTCAAATTACCCAATTTCTGGGTCATGATGTAAAATATATTTGTTGCTTTGGATCATGTTAAAAGAAAGTTTCAAAAACAGTGATCCGGGCCTGGGTTTGTGGCTCAGTGGTAGAGCGCTCGGCTAGCACGTGCGAGGCCCTGGGTTCCATCCTCAGCACCACATTAAAAAATAAATAAATAAATAAAATAAGGGTATTGTGTTCAACTACAACTAAAAAAAAAAAAAACCCGCGTTGATCTGGTGGCCATTATCTACCCAACACTCCACCTCACCTCCAGTGTCTCTCTTCCTAGTGCCACCGTGAGCAGGTTGCCTTTTGCAGGTGCTGTGCTGACATCTCTGTGCCCCCATTTGGGACTCATTCCGTCCTCATAGCGCCCCTGTGAGGCAGGAACTGGCATCAGGAAGGATTCTTTTGAGTACAATGAACACCAATAACAGAAAAAGAAAGCAACTCTAACTTAAGAGATAGTTTATTGGAAGAACTCACAACTCAAAATGTTGGTGGAGAAGCAAGGGACAAGTTTGGCACCAGAAAGCCTGGGGCAGGTCCCCTTACTGTAGCTTCCTGGTGTCAGTGGCAGAATGCATGAGTCCCACCTAGTTCCTCTCTCATGGCGTCACTGGGCCCAAGAACCAGTTTGAAGAGGACAGCCTGAACCAAGGACCTTGGGTGTCCTGTGGCTCCCTGTGTGCCAAGAGCAAGGGAACAGACCTCCCGGAGGGCAGGTAGCACAATTTATCCTCTCTAGACCTAGGATGGGTAGGGGATTTGCCCAAAGAATGAGGTGATGCTCACGGCAGTCTTCTGGGCAGTGTTCTAGAATGTCCAGAGGAAAAGAAAGGTGGTGTTCACCAAGGCCTCTGCTCCAGTCGAGGGGCTTTCTCATCTCCCTTTGTCTTTGCCATGCCACTCTCCCTCCCAGGAGGTCCTCCCTCCTCTTTTCTCTTGAGAGGTTCTGAGTATGCCCCCTTTTCCAGGAAGCCCTCCTGGATGAGCCAGCTCCATGCCGGACTCCTTGAAGTGTCCCACTGCTCTTCTTAGAGAAACATCTTGCCTCCCAGCCAAGCTGCAGGTCTTGTTCCTAGAGAGCTGGAACAGGACTACCAAATGGGAGGACTCTCCTGACACAGGAGAGAACCACTCTGATTCCAGCACCTCATGGTATGGTACATATAGTGGTCGGCAAGTGTGGGCTAATGGCCATCTCTTTTTTTTTTTTTTTTTTTTGGTACTGGGTATTGAGCCCAGATGCTCCTTACCAAAGAACTACATCCCCAGTCCTCTTACTTTTTTATTTTTGAAACAGGATTTCACTGTTTGCTGAGGGTCTTGCCAAGTTGCTGAGGCTGGCTTCGAACTTGCAGTCCTCTTGCCTCAAACTCTGGAGTCACTGGGATTACGGGCATGTGCCACCAGACTGGCTCCATCTCATTGTTGCACTCACTGTGGACTGAGTAGAGTGACTTAACTTCTCTGAGCCTTAGTGTCCTCGACCAGGAAGCAGAGTTAGTCATATATAGCTCATAGGTTAGTATAGGTATTAAATGCAGTCAGTCATAAGTGCCAAGTTTTGGACTAACTAATTAAGTTTTGCTATTTTTTTCATAAATAATAGCTCTCTACTGTCGAAAAACAACAGAATACAGATAAGTACCAAGGAGAACATCAAAATCACCTGTAAATTACACCACACAGCAAACAAACATCACTGTTGACTCTGTAGCCTTTTGGTCCTTCTGTGCACAAATTTATTTGGCACCCTCCCCTATGACCCTGAGAGAATTAAATGAGGTACTGTACACGAAGCACCTCACCCAGCACCAGGGTGTCCTTTTGTGCAATGTCCATTTCCAGAGTCACTGTCACCAGCACAAAGATAACTCCCATATCTCAGTCACAGCCCTCAACTGTCTCTGTTCACCACCAGCCTCTGACCACCCCCTGCTGACCACCATCACCTGCATGTCCATCCAGAATTTTAAATGGAGCAAGTCCAAACCCAAGGTTGTCACACTCCTCAAATGCACAGCTCGGGCTCCTCTGCTCCCCAGCCCTCTTGATATCATTGTCCCCATCACTGCCCCAGTTTGGATCCCATTGGTGACATTTCTTGACTCGTCCCTACCCTTCCATTTCACTCGGGCTCTGAGTTTCTCCCCTCACCAACCTGCATGCTCTTGGCCATCAGAGGATTCCCTCTCAGCCCTGCTGTCCTTGGGTTAGGGGTGCACTGAGGTTGGCCATAGGGGAGGTGGGGAGCTGGGATAGAACAGATAAGCAGATTCAGTTTTCAGAGGAAATCACAGGGAAGCCGGGGAATGGCCAAAGGTCTCCCCAGCAAAGAAGGCTATGTTCTTCCCTGGCTGTGTTTCCAAGGGGACACTGAGACATGGGGGGGCCAGTCAGGTTGGTAGCAAGTTGGGGATTCTTTGTGTAATCAAGTGGAAACTGACTTTCTAAGGGGTGTCAGACTGGAGTCAGGCAGGGGCCATCTGCCGGGGGAAAAGATGGTCTTTGTCCCCCCAGAGTATTGCTCAAAGGAGAAGGTGTGTGCTCTTGACTTGAGGGATGTGTGAGGACAGCGGGGACAATGCTCTCGCTCCATGGCCCCACTCAAGATGCAGATCCTGGGGACAGAGAAGGGTGGAAACAGCCCAAAGAAAAGCAGTTTGGGTGGGTAGGGGGAGGACAGGAAGGGACTAGTGATGCTTGGGCCGCCACGCCTGTGATGTGGCCTGCAAGTGACAGGGGAATAGTTCCTCCTAAGACAGAGGGCCTGGCTGGGAGGTGCGTTAGCATCCAACAGGTATCATTCCTGTACTGTTAGGTGTCATGCAAATGCGCTAGAAAACTAGAAAGGCCAGTCCGTCCAAGCCTCACTATAGAGTAAGTTTATGCCAACTAATCCCATACCCAAACCGGCTCCTGCATCCAGGAGGAAGACGCCAGCAAGCTCGCTGACTATGGATTGATGTCTTCATTCATGCAAGTTCTAATTCTAATTCTTCAAATGAAATGTCCTTCTTTGGCAGATCTTCCAACTCCAGTATATGTACTTTTCATAACCTCTCTCTCTGTCTCTCTCCCCATCTTCCCCCCTTCTACTCCCTCTGTTCCCCACAACTTTTCCACCCTCCCCTATGACGCTCACCCCTCCTGCCATCCAGGTGTCTCTCTTGCTGTATGACTCCACCAGGATGAGGCGGCTTCTGTCCAAGGCTCTGGTGATTGATGACGACGACGACGATGAGTATCCCTGGAGACAGAACGCGCACAAATACTACGTCCATCTCATCCTCAGCCTCTTCCTCTTCCTCTGGTTTATTCTGGGGAATTACTGGGTCTTCTCTGTGTACCTGCCTGACTTTATTCCCCCTTTCCAGCAGCCCCAGGCATACTGTGACAAAACCCTGTACCTCTTTGCAGTAGGGGTCCTGGTGCTCAGTCACACTGTGCTGATCTTACTGGTCCTGTGCAGTGGTTGTGTCTATGTGTGTTCCAGGTGGAGATTTGCTGGTGATGAAGACTGACAGCCACTCCTCCCGGCGTGTGCACACATAGACACACATGCACAATTTGGGGAGAAAAGCATGCTAGTGAGTCAATAGAACCTTCCACACGGGCATTTCAGAAACTAACAAAAATGCACTGAAGGAGTCTACCAGACTAAAGAGAATCTTGCCTGCCTGGATGTGGGGAAAGCATTTTGACTCTTCTTTGGGTGAGAATTTGTACTCATGAGTTTTCAAAGGATGTTTCTTTGGAGGGGAGGAGATGAGGAGTGCTAAGGAAGGGTGATCTTTTTCAATCACAGGGCAATTCCAAGCCCTGTGGCAAGGTTTGTTACTGTAACAAGGTTTCTTACAGTAACAGTTGTTACTGTTGCTACTGCTGAGCTCATTCAGCCACCAGCACTGCAGAGTGGTAGGAAAGATGCCCATTAATAACTCCAACTGCCTTTTGTGATAGTTAAGAAGTCAGGATATCCCCAACCCCAGATCAAAAGGTTTGATCTGATAACTGAGGACATCCTAAGGGCAGTTATAAAATCTGCAAGTTCAAGGAATAGATTCCACAGAGGGGCTCTGGCTGGTCTGCCAGGGGACCTTGCAGTGAGCAGTGTCCCTCTCATCTTCATTTCTGGATGCTGCTACTGTATGTTCTGTGCTCGGCATGGAGTCCATTTCTATTCCTGGTAATCTGTGTGCTTTGTGGACGGTTCCATGTCATAAACTGGTCTTGCAGCTGAGCATGGTGGCGTGCACCTGTAATCCCAGTGGTTCAGGAGGCTGAGGCAGGAGGATTGCAAGTTCAAAGCAGCCTTAGCAACTTAGGGAGGCCCTAAGCAATTCAGCGAGACCCTGATTCTAAATAAAATATGAAAAGGGCTCAGTGGCTGAGTGCCCCTGAGTTCAATCCCTGGTACCAAAAAAAAAAAAAAAAAAAAAAAAAAAAAACCCACAAAATCTGGCCAGGTTACATGAATTAAGGTGCCATTAGTGCAGGTGCTTTGGGTTTCTGAGCTTAAATATTTCACAGCCGTTCTTCTGTTTAATGACAGAGTCAGCTTGGGAAGCTTTTTCTAATTTAATCATCTGGAAGTCTAGAATGATACCAAACAGCAACCCCTAGCATCCCATCTTGCTGCTGTCCTTGTAACATGAAGTTCCTGGGAGCCTCGGTACCAGGTTAGCAAGTGGGTAGTTTCTCCTGTGGAAGGCACTCTTTCAAATTTTCTTTTTTCTTTATTTATTTTCGAGTTCTAGGGATGAACGTGGGGGTGTTTTATTTTACCATTGAGCTTTTCATTTTTTATTTCAAGACAGGATCTTACAAAGTCACCCGTCACCTGAGCTGACCTCAGACTTGTGATCCTCCTGCCTCAACCTCCTGAGTCCTTGGGACTGCAGGCCTATATACCACAGCACTTGGCTTACTTGAGAATTTTCAATGAAGACACTGTCGTGGGTGTTATTAGGGAAAGCACCCAGACAGAGCACAGCAACTGCTTAACTGTGCTTGTATCTCAGTTTATCTCTCTGTGGTGCCAAGCTGCTTTCTTTTTTCTTTCTTTTTTGGTGTGTCTGTGTGTGTCGGGAACGGCAGGTGGGGGCTGCTTTATAATCAAACCAAGCCCCAGTAGCCATCAATGTAAGGCACCAGCCTGTCTCAGAAGTGTGAGTTCAAACCAAGAGGCACACTCTTCTCCATGGCTTTAAGAGAAAAGAGACTGTGAGTGCCAAGGAAGCTTCCCATTTGAGTTTGGAAGGACTCTCCAAGGATCTGTCCCCTGGAGTCACCTTTGATCCACATTTCTCCCAGGCGAGAAGGTGCATAGTGCGCCCTCTGCTGGGAAAAAGGAGAACAGTCCTTATTCTGCCCCATCCCTCAGGGCAGTTACTGTTTTCCCGTGAGCTACTGAGGACAGTAAGGTGTGCAGCTTGCAGATCCTGCATCATCTGTACCGATGCAGGCCTGATTCCATCCTTATTGTGTCTCAAGTCGAGGGCTGAGACAGACTCTGGGCTCAGACACAGGGCAGGTAGGTGTTCCATGCCCCACCCCCACGAGGGGGTCTCAGCCACTCCCAGTCACTTAGCCAATGTTTGGACACAAACAAAGCTGAAAGCCAACAGAACCCATATCAAAGCTCAATCCAGGCCACACATCCACCAGTACTTTCCTTCATGTCCCTGATACTAATTGCTGTGCAGAAACTTTTAAAGAATATTCAGGTTCCATCTTAAAATAATAAGCCAAGGCCACATAGACAATTTTTTAAAAAGCCAATTTGGTACTCATTTTTTTTTGTTCTCTCCTGTTTGCTTCAGTTAGAAGCTTGCTTATGTTTGCTTATGTTGGAAATGACTCTGAGGTTTCAAGAGAGTATTGAGGTGGAATTCACACCCCTCTGGGTCACGGATAGAGGGAGGAAATGACTGGACTGTGATTGACCCATCCTGGTGGTGTCTCCTGAATACTGAGGGCCAAGCAAGTAGAATTTCTCCCACTCATATCCCAGCACTGTCCTTGCCTTTCTGTGAAGCTAAGACATTCTGCTGGGCCTTGTGAATGACTCACATGGAGTCTGCCCAGAAGAAGGGTATGGAAGGACAGGATGCACAGTTGACCCCTTCATCCAGAGGAGAGGCTACCACTGACTCACCCTAATCTATGAACATCAAAGACCTGAGCCTCTGGAGCCCCAAGCTACTCCCTCCTGAATGCTTCTGAGGCTGCTGCCACTGGAGTTTGACAAAGATGCAAAGAGATTGTGGAAAATCATAGCTATAAAAATGGCTGTTGATTGGGCACAGAGACAGACACCTGGGAGGCTGAGGCAGGAGGATCACAAGTTCAAGGACAACCTGGGCAACACCACAAGACCATGAATGAATGAATGAATGAATATTTGTTTGCAGATGGCAGATATGGGCTACTGTTTTGGTTCCATGAGTAGTGTCCTGTTTCAAATGTTGGACATTCCCAGTTTCTGATAGACCTGGATACTCATGGAGTATTGCAGAGTCTTTATATTGATATAAATGCTTTATCAAATACACCCGTTAAAGTGGAAAACTGGGGGCTGGGATTGTGGCTCAGCAGTAAAGCGCTTGCCTAGCATGTGAGAGCCCCAGGTTCGATCCTCAGCACCACATTAAAAAAAAAAAAAAGAATAAGTAAATAAAATAAAGTTTTAAAAAAAGTGGAAAACTGGTGTCTTGGTAAAAGAGTTTTTCTTTTTCTATACCTTTTTATTTTTCACAACAAACTTGAAGTCTTTAAATACTACGTTTGATATAAAAAATTAAAAGGAAACCATATAGTTAAAATCAGAACTATAAGAAATTCTGTGATGGTTAGGAAGCAGAGGTTCTCGATCTTTTTTTGTTTTCCACACACTTGTCTCTTGCCCCAGAGGGAGTAGTAGAGGAAAAGGTGTGCTCATTCTATTGTACACTCCCTCCCTTGCTATGGAGAACATCTATCAGAGATCCTAAATCATTATTAAAACCTGGACCAAATTTTTGGCTTTGAATTTCCTGGCAACCAAAGCAGAAGGATGATTTGATGATTCCCTATAAATTGCACCTTTTTTCCTGGAGTAAAAAGCACCACCTCTGGAGAAATACAGGCTAAACTGGGCACAGTGGCTCACTCCTATAATCCCAGCAGCTAGAGAGGCTGAGGCAGGAGGATCATAAGCTCCAAGTCAACCTCAGTGAGGCCCTAAGCAACTCAGCGAGACCTTATCTCTAAATAAAATATTAAAAAGGGCTGGGGATGTGGCTCTGTGACTAAGCGCCCCTGGATTTAATCCCAGGTACTAAAAAAAAAAAAAAAAAAAAAAAATTAAAAGAAAAAAAAAAAGAAATACAGGCTAAGTATGAGAGAATGTTCACATGCATCAACTCAGGGGGTGACATCTGCAGCCTGTTATAGTATAATGAGACAGAGTTCAAGAAAGAATTTCCAGGGCCCAGGAAAAAAATGGTCTATAATTGTGTTTTTTGGGTTTTTTTTTTTTTTTTTTTTGAAGGTCTGGATTAATCTAGAGCTGACATTTGGACTACTAGAAAGTGATGAGCTACCTGGTAGAATCATTTCCCTTGCCTGGGGGAAAATTTTGATAGATGAGCACAAGAAGCTCATGGTTGTAATTGCTAGTATGGCCCAAAGTACGTGTTGAGTGGGCTGTGTGTACCTGCAGAATAAAGTGTCTACCCAAGACTGACCCAAAGAGACGGCCATCATCCCTCCTCAGTGGGAACATGGTAAGGCAGAGATATTCCAGGAAAATGAACAAAGGAACCCAAACTTTTGGAAGCTATGAAAACTCAAGGGAGGGATAATCAGTTGTTCCTGTCTGAGAAAAGATAAACTGTATCTTTTCAGCAAAAGATAAACTGTATATTGAAGTCAATATTCTTTGCCTGGCTTGATAGAAATGATAGTTGAAATCAGTAAAAATGGGACCATATCACTACAAGCAGCCACACCAGTGGTTCTCAAACCTCAGCAAACCCTCAAAACTACCCAAGAGTTTGCTTCAAATGCACAGTCAGAGCCCCCTGGCATTCTGATATGTGGGGCTCACCGATTAGGATTCAGCCAGCCAGAGAACCACATATGCCCTCAGACCTCAGATGAGGCGTGAACTGATGCAGGCCAGGCCATCTCAGTTCCAACCAGGAGGATAATATGATCTTAATTCCAGTACTTCACACTGTCTCCCTCTATTTTCATACAAGAAGAAGAAGCAAAATGGTCCATGGCATTCATTTTTGCCTGCCTGAATCTTGTGCTGCATTTCCTCATGGCCATTCTTCAGGGTTGATGAAACCAAGTTTGTACACGCTGTTCCCACGCCTTCCTTGAATAATCCCTGGGGAAGAGAATCCTCCAGTCTATGGGATGCTTTGCTTGTTCTTGCTTCCAGTGGGATTCCAGAGGCTACAGCTGATGCACACAGACACTGGCAACCATCAGAGCCTGGTGGAGGCAAATTTTCTCCATCAAACTCATCATCTTCGGGTGGGTGGGTGATCTGCAGTAGAGATTCTAGAAAATTGAATGAACAGAAAATCCTGCCTAGTGATTCTAGTGGTATTTTCTTTTTATATGAATATAGAACTAAGAACAAAATAAATCTATTTTATAGAGATCAAATTTTAAGAGTTCACTCTTCAGGTCAGCAAGTT